GCGTGTCGCGTGTCGCGTGTCGCGTGTCGCGTGTCGCGTGTCGCCTGTCGCGTGTTGCGTGTTGCGTGTTGCGTGTTGCGTGTTGCGTGTTGCGTGATGCCTGTTGCGTGTTGCGTGTTGTGTGTTGCGTGTTGCGTGTTGCGTGTTGCGTGATACTGTTGCGTGTTGCGTGTTGAGTGTTGCGTGTTGCGTGTTGTGTGTTGTGTGTTGTGTGTTGTGTGTTGTGTGTTGTGTGTTGTGTGTTGTGTGTTGTGTGTGGTGTGTCGTGTGTTGTGTGTTGTGTGTTGTGTGTCGCGTGTCGCGTGTCGCGTGTCGCGTGTCGCGTGTCGCGTGTCGCGAGTCGCGTGTCGGGTGTGGTGTGTGGTGTGTGGTGTGTGGTGTGTGGTGTGTGGTGTGTGGTGTGTGGTGTGTGGTGTGTGGTGTGTGGTGTGTGGTGTGTGGTGTGTGGGGTGTGTGTGTGTGTGTGTGTGGTGTGTGGTGTGTGGTGTGTGGTGTGTGGTGTGTGGTGTGTGGTGTGTGGTGTGTGGTGTGTGGTGTGTGGTGTGTGGTGTGTGGTGTGTGGTGTGTGGTGTGTCGTGTGTCGTGTGTCGTGCGTCGTGCGTCGTGTGTCGTGCGTCCTGCGTCGTGTGTCGTGCGTGTGTCGTGTGTCGTGTGTCGCGTGTCGCGTGTCGCGTGTCGCGTGTCGCGTGTCTCGTGTCGCGTGTCGCGTGTCGCGTGTCGCGTGTCGCGTGTCGCGTGTCGCGTGTCGCGTGTCGCGTGTCGCGTGTCCTGTGTCCTGTGTCCTGTGTCGTGTGTCGTGTGTCGTGTGTCGTGTGTCGTGTGTCGTGTGTCGTGTGTCGTGTGCCGTGTGCCGTGTGCCGTGTGCCGTGTGCTGTGTGCCGTGTGTCGTGTGTCGTGTGTCGTGTGTCGTGTGTCGCGTGTGGTGTGTCGTGTGTGGTGTGTTGTGTGTGTTGTGTGTGTTGTGTGTGTTGTGTGTGTTGTGTGTTGTGTGTTGTGTGTTGTGTGTTGTGTGTTGTGTGTTGTGTGTTGTGTGTTGTGTGTTGTGTGTTGTGTCTTGTGTGTTGTGTCTTGTGGGTTGTGTCTTGTGTGTTGTGTCTTGTGTCTTGTGTGTTGTGTGTTGTGTGTTGTGTGTTGTGTGTTGTGTGTTGTGTCTTGTGTGTTGTGTGTTGTGTCTTGTGTCTTGTGTCTTGTGTGGTGTGTGTTGTGTGTTGTGTGTTGTGTGTTGTGTGTTGCGTGTTGTGTGTTGTGTGTTGTGTGTTGTGCGTTGTGCGTTGGTTGTGCGTTGTGCGTTGTGCGTTGTGCGTTGTGCGTTGTGCGTTGTGGGTTGTGTGTTGTGTGTTGTGTGTTGTGTGTTGTGTGTTGTGTGTTGCGTGTTGCGTGTTGCGCGTTGCGCGTTGCGTGTTGCGCGTTGCGCGTTGCGCGTTGCGCGTTGCGCGTTGCGCGTTGCGCGTTGCGGGTTGCGGGTTGCGGGTTGCGGGTTGCGTGTTGCGTGTTGCGTGTTGCGTGTTGCGTGTTGCGTGTTGCGTGTTGCGTGTTGCGTGTTGCGTGTTGCGTGTTGCGTGTTGGGTGTTGGGTGTTGGGTGTTGGGTGTTGGGTGTTGTGTGTTGTGTGTTGTGTGTTGTGTGTTGTGTGTTGTGTGTTGTGTGTTGTGTGTTGTGTGTTGTGTTGTGTGCTGCGTGGCTGGGGTGCGGTGCGGTGGGGTGCGGTGCGGTGCGGTGGCGTGCGGTGTGTTGTGTTGTGTTGTGTTGTGTTGCGCTGCACTGCGCCAGGAAAACGTACGAGTACCTGCTTTGCTCGCACCTGGGGTCCGACGCGGCCAGCTGGTGAGGCATCGTTTCATTTTCATCTTCATCTCATTTCGTGCTACGTTGTTCCTTTGTGTCTGACGTCGCAAGGGGCCGAAACCATACCCCTTACGGATCATCTCATCTTGTGTTTGTATGCCATTCCTGTGGTCTGGCACACATGGTACAAAGTCTCATCTCATTGTCACGACAGGCGCAGGTGAAAGGTTGAAATCCATAAAGTCACCAAGGCATCAGTGTGTGTGTGTGTGTGTGCGTGCGTGCGTGCGTGCGTGTGTTGTGTTGTTATGTCGTTTGTCGCTTGTTGTTTGTTGTGTTGTGGTTGGTGCTTGTTGTTTGCTGTTTGTAGTTGCGCTTGCATTGCATGTGTACTTGCATTTGAAGTTGCTATTTGCACATGCATTTGCATTTGCATTTGTCGCTGTCGTTGTCGTTCAGTTATTGTTGACGTCAAGGCCTTCAAGGCCTTAAGCCCTGCAATCACCTCCACCCCCCAATCCCACCTTGCCCCATGGCCGACCAAAAAACCTCAACCCTACACTCACCGCCCATACCTAAATCCTTGCGTGGCTGGCGGTCGGGGACAGCCCTGTTCAAAAATGGCAGTGCATCAGCCATCCCGGATGGGTCCAACTCCAGGGTACCTTTGGGCCACGCGTAAGTGTCAGACATGCGTAGAAATGCCCTTCATGTACATGTTAAGTTCCAGTGGTCGAATCCGCCGAGGCCCTGGGCCGTAGGTGTCTGGGTAGGCACCCCACCTCTCATCCCCTACCCGGCCCCCTGGTTTGGGTTGCCTTGTCGCAGAAGCTCAGGCCGAGGCGGGTCGCGTAGCGTTAAAATTACGAGTACCAGACGGGGAGGCGAACGCTGTCTATTGCGAGTCTTCCATCCTTCCGATCCTTCCCTACCTTTTCTGCAGACTATCAACGAGCGTCTCCCCTGAAGTGCAATTAATGTCTAGATGCAGCAGTCACAAAGCGCCATTGGTGCGAAGCTAGATGTGACAACTTGCCCATGGATGTGGTCCAAATGCAGAGGGCGGGAGGCCGGCGGAGGCAAATATTTTCCAAGAACAATCAGAACAGTCAAGCCATTGCAATGCAAGAAGGAAGATCCACTGAAGGCCTGACTCGCCATCTGCGATTCCTCAGGTGGTTGCCCCTGTTTAGTCAACTGAAACAAAGCTATACAAAGCAACCACAAGCAAGGTCTTGTCTCTGCCACCTTAACCTAGAATCCCTGATGCCGTGACATGCCATGCAAAGCTTCAACATGCAGACTTGCGCAGTGTGGTTTTGGCGCGTTTTCTTAAAAGGACCCCCCTCGCCAAAACTTTTCAACTGCGTTGAGAGCACCCCTTGGGAGCCCTGACCAAAACTGTCCAAGCTTTTCCAGTTCTCTCACATTATGTGCAACTGGTAGGAAACCCTGAAAAGTTGGGTTGCAGTTTGGGAAGTCTTGGTGCTTGGGGTGCTTCTGGGAAGACTCAATGGCTGGTACTTTAGGGTGGTTCTCAGCAAACAAACCAAATGTCCCAGCAAAACAGTAACACCATTCGCTTCGAGCCCATGAGCTCCCGCTAGTTTGCGCTCGTAGATGCTTGCAGAGCCTGGACAGAGGGCTGTTTGACACCCCCATCCCATACTCTCATGGGCCTCGGTATCCGCAGAAGTCAAGGTGACCGGGTGGCCGTGCTGGGTGCTGGGTGCGTCGTGGGCACGATGAGGCTAAACATGCGTAACAAATTGATCTCAACTCAAGAACTCCAATGTGGCGCTTCGGAAACTTCAGGCATCTTCAGTCTCTCTACAAATCTTGAAATCTTGGGAATGCGACAAAGAGATTTGCTTGTCCCTTGCAAACCTTGTAGGTCTCTCTGATAACTTCTCGAAGAGTACATTTCGCAAAGAAAAAAACACAACCAAACGGAGAATTTTGCCCATCGTAGGGCAATCGCATGCCAATGCCCGGCCCGGCACAACCCTCGTACTAAGGGGGTGGCGAACCTACCTAGCGACGCTGGCTTTTGGATCATCTCCCCCCTTTGTGTATTTGTGGTTGTGAGCCGCCCAGTCCAAAGATGCTGTTGATTCTAACTCGTCAGGGCCAGGCAGACACGAGCACGCAAATGCACGTGAGTTCCGGTCAAGCCTTCCTTCCTACTGCTTCGACAAAATTCGGCAAAGCAGCCTGCTATTGTGGCAGTGCCTTCCGAATTTGGCCGCAGGGAGAGGCCAAGCTTTTCGCTTCCAGATCTTGATAGCTTGACCACCAGCACAGGGGATGCCTTCTCAACAACTTTCACCATCGAGGCAATGGCATGGATCATGATAATGATTCAAAGCAGTGGCACTCTTGCTGGACATCGCCACCCGCCTGCTTGAGGGCATCTTCCTCGCTTGGAAGACTGACCCACATGCCACCTTAACAGTCAAGAGCTTTGCCCCAAGCAGTTTTCTGAGCCAAACCCAGGAAACACCTCAACTCCAGGGTTCGGACCTGCAATGCTTCCAACATATCCGAGTAACCTTGCATGGGCTCTTGCAGTGGCAGCTTTAGTCCGACTTGAAACTGCTGCTCAAGTTATGGTCCCTGGCTAAAGTCAAGCGGCCAGCTGTTAAATATCAGTCACTCAGACGGTTGATGCAAGCAGCAACGAAACGCAAACGGCCGCTCCCAGTGCCATCGTTTTTTCTTCCGCATCTAGCCTGACATGGGAAGACCATGAGAAGTACATGCACAGCAAGACAGGCAGACAGACAGGTAGACACACGCACACACACACACATTCCACAAAAAGAAATGGTTGGATCATGCCGCATCTCAGTCTGTCCTTTGGAAAGCCGCATAGCTTTGTCCGAGTATTCGGAAGAGCTCATCCATGACTAAGCTCGGTGCAAAAACGACGCGTGCTGTTCTCCCAGGTTGAACTCCGCTGTGCGGCCTTTCCCCCTGCGTGCTGTGATGCTGCTTTACCCGCTGGTCAGTGGTGTGCTAGGCTGCCAGACCTTCAAATCTAAGATCTAAAGTCACTCAGCCATTGGCGGCGAGCCACCTCCGCGTTGTAATGCTCTGCCGCAACACAACAATCGCAAGCTACGTTCTGCAGGAAGCACCGACGCGGATCGTGCTTGGCCCACGTCTTGCCCGCGATTTTAACAAACGGCCATGCTGCTGCTTCATCTGCACAATCTACACTTGTTCCTTCAAGCTTGGCCGCCGGGCACCTGACAATGCCAAAGCCCGCTGCTGCAGAAGTGCATTGATTGGTCGTTGGCCTGCGCGGTAGCCTGCCTTTGCCAGCTCATTGAAAACAAGCAACCAGATGGAGCAAGAAACTGCAATAATGAGTCTGCTCGGTGTCAGGGGCACGAATTGCAAAGCGCTGGCCAAAGGCGACACATAGATGACCATACACATCACGAGAACGTTGCACAGCAGCGTCAAGTTGTACCAGGGATTGTCAAAAGGCTTCGATAAAACGAAACGTTCTGTCCTGAAGCACATGATGCTGAGGACCTCACCGAACATGATCGTAACAAAGGACATGGTTTGCCCGACTTTGAGGCCATAGTCCACGCAGCTGAGCCCAGGAGGCAACATTGCACGCTGAGAGCTAGGAACATGACGTTTCCAGCACCACAGGTCAGGATTGCTCTTGCAAGGGGTCACAAGTGTCGACAGATTGCCTTCCCAGTCAGGATTATCCAGGGAAAGATCCCATGCATTTCGAGACACGTCAATTGGTGCTATCTGTCGAGTTGTTCCCCAGTGCTCCACGATGGACGTCTGCAGCCCCGGCCAACCCGTGGGATTTGTAGTGCAGAGGCAATGGAAGGGGCGTGGATCCTCGTGATGTCGTCCAGTCTCATCTTCCCAGCCAGCAAGCTCACAGGCTGAACGGCCACTTTTCAGATCGGCCACAACTGCGCTACCCAATAAATCCTGATTGCGCACAAATCCAGTGGCTCCAAAGGTTCCGAGTAGCAGCGATGAGTAGGCCACAAGTGGGAGGCAGCAAACAAACGGGACCATGCGCCACATGATTTGGTTTCGAGTGAGAAGCATGCCATGCACTTCTCTTGGTGGAACTTTCATGGTGTGCTGCTCTGCAGGCTCAAAAGCTAAGCAAATAGTGCTCGCACCATGTGTGATGATCATGTTCAGCAGCTGCGGCGATGGCTTTATGACGGGAAGAACTCCAAGGAACAGCGACAGTAGCAAACTAGTCGCCTCCGCAAACTTCATGCTCAAGTTCACCATAACGTACTTCTGCGTGTTGCTGAAGATGCGTCTTCCCTCCTCAACCGCCGAAAGTATTGTTGAGAAGTTATCGTCAAGCAGAATCAAGTCACTCGCATTCTTGGCCACGGCAGAGCCGCAAATGCCCATAGCGACCCCAACATCTGCCGCCTTCAATGCCGGGGCATCATTCACTCCGTCACCTGTCATTGCAACAACATGTCCGGCAGCACGGAGCGCAGCGACTATGGCAACTTTGTCTGAAGGCTGGGCGCGTGCGAAGCATTTCACTCGTGACGTAATGTCGATCAAGTCCTCCTCAGACTTGAACTCAGGCTCGTGGTCCATTGGCCCCCGCTCATCATGTATAGACAGGCTCCTGTTTGGCAAGGTGTGGCATGACGGTGTTTCTGGGCATTATTCCGATTTCTCTACAAGGTTAGGGACTGCTTAATTCAGGATCTGTATTGCGAAGCTCCTAGAGCCACGCCGTGAACCGTTGTTGGCCTTCGTCTCGACCCCGTCGCCACTGCCCCTGCTGGGAAAAGTCGCATCCACTGCTTCCTGTGCTTGTCGCGATAGCCGCCGTTTGTTCACAGCTCGCGGAAGGTTCACTTCATGAAGATCCGCGCATGTTGCAATGGCAAAGCTGCGGTCTGCATCCTGCAGTAAGCCGACTTGCTTTGCAATCGCAGCGGCCGTTCCCTGCTGGTCGCCTGTTATCATTACGACACGAATCCCCGCCTCATGGCAATGCCGGATGCTTTGTGGGACAGATGTCCGCGGGGGATCGTGAATGCCCCAGAGACTGAGTGGACAAACCTTGGAGGGCTCCAGAATCAGACCGAGGCGTTCATCGGCTGAGTGTAGATTTCCGAGAGCTTCCACCTCAGTGAGCACCAGCGGTCGTACCACTACGAGCAGGCTGCGCAAGGCATCGCCACTCAGCTCTGCATTTGCTGAAAGCAACATGTCTCTATCATTCGCAGTCATGGGCTCGCCCGGAATATCTAGACTTCCCGCCGCAAACTTTGCAACAGCACCGGCTCGGTCTAGAAGCTTCTCAGGGGCACCTTTGATGATGGCGATGTGGGTGCAGTCCGGTGGGAACTGCAGGCTTGCAAGTCGACGATTTTCTGGCAGCTCATGGACACTGGCCATCACTTTGCGGTGTGATGTAAATGGGATATCTAGATCGGCCAATCGACGGTGTGATTTGAGCAGCGTTTCGCCAGAGAGCCCAGTGTCTTTGAAGCCACCCTTCGCAGCCGCCACCTTGAGTGCACCCTCCGTCATGTTACCACTGATTTGCCACCGATCTGTGCTAGGATGCTGGTACAGAGATGTCTGGTAACAGCTCAGAAAAGCACATGCAAGATGTGCTTTGGCCATGAGGTGATCCAGGCTTACATCTGCAGATCCCTCCTGTGCCGAAAGATCCGGCAGTCCTGCAGAGGTAAACGTTTGGCGCTCCAACTGCAAGTCGAAAGCAGCATCCATTTGCTCCCGATGCTCGCTTGAAAGTTGAGACGCTGCGAACAAACCACCATTGGGAGAGAAGCCGCGGAGCGGATAGAAAGCTAGCGTGCTCTTTTTGGTGGCACCTGTGTTGCCACCTGGTTCTCCAGCATCTCGGCACAAACCGATCAGGCTTGTAGCTGTCATGCGTCCCTCAGTGAGAGTGCCAGTTTTGTCAGTACAGATTACAGATGTCGCCGAGATGTAGTCGACGGCTGATACCTTCATGACTTCTCCTCCTTTTGCCGCCATTCGAACGGAACTCACTCGGAGCATGATGGTCAAGACCATGGGCAAACCATGCGGCACAACCGCCACGGACATCACAACTGCGCGAAGAAGCCCGGTCCTTGCAATGCAGTGAAGGTCATGCGGGGGACATGGGCTTGCTGGATCCTGGTACCTTGTCGCCAGTGCCAGCAAGGTGGCGCCAGCAACGAGGCCAAGAACAACAGCGCTCAGTCTGCGCCCCAAAGCGTTGACGGAGACCTGCAAGGGACTCTTCTCGGTCCAAGGCTTGCTTTCCCGAAGCCGCTTGGCAATCTGTCCGACCTGCGTCTGCATGCCAATATGCACAACTTCCGCCTTTGCACGTCCGGAGGTCACAGACGTGGCGCTGTAAAGCATGTTGGCCCGGAATGGTGTGTCAGGTGTGTTCGGAGTGCTCTCAGTCACCTGGGTTGTCTTGGTCACATCTGCTGGCTCTCCCGTCAGGATGGACTCATTTACCTTGAGATCGATGGCCTCGAGGAGCACCGCATCTGCGGGCCTGGGAGCTTTAAGCTTTGCAAGTGATGCTAGCGTGCTGAACACTACACTCTGCAACTGCACCCAACTGAGCACGGCACACAACATCGCCAACCTGCAAAAGCACAACATCACCTGCGACCAAGGTTGACGACGCCACCCTGGACTGCTGCCCATCACGGAGGCACATGGTGTCGAGAGCGGTCATGCTCCTCAAGGCCTTTCCTGCATCTTGGCTGGTGTGCTCACCAAAGGTATTCGCCAGAATCACTGTGCACACAACCACCACCAGTAGCACTGCTCTGGGCGTGTCCCCACAGAGATGCGAGAGGAAGGCGGCCGCAATAGTCAAGGCAAAGAAAATGCTCTGCATCTGCCGTATCAAAATATGAAGGAAGGACTCTTTCGGAGGCGGTGCCAGCTCATTAGGACCATCTTGTGCTAGCCGGGCCGCAGCTTCCAGAGATGAGAGGCCTTCACCAGGACTGAAAGTGCCAGCATTCGTCGTAGTCGTTGCATTTCGCAACAGAGAGGAATCCATCACATTGGAATTTCTAGCGAGGTCTATGAAAGGCTCGACTGGACCCGTAAGGATCCGTCAAGCGAAGGTCTGAAATAGAACGTCTTAGGCTGGATGGGCTTGGGCCTTTGTTCGGCCCCACGAGCAGGGAAAAACTCTAGTGGAAGAGAGTCACGGTGACATCAAGAGCACTGCCAGGCACCTATTGGCACTCAATCTTCTTGAGGCCGTGTACTTCAGCGAACTTTGGCTCCAGGGGTCATGGGCTGTGGATTTCAACCATCTGGAATGCCTAGGCACGCACTGCCACCAGAAACCTGTTCAACTCACCCATACTCACCCCACCGAAAGTCAACAAGGCGACCGATGCCGAAGAGGCCCGAGGCTTAACGAGCGTTTACTCTCGTGCGGCTGACAAAAGCCTGACCGGTCTCAGATGGTGACCCGGTCAAAGCCTGAGTTTTTAAACCGTATGTTACAACTTCTTTAGCAGGGGGCAGCCCTGTAAAGAGGCGTTTGCCGGCTTAGAGGCGCACGTGCGACTTTGTGGGGTCCCCTTTAGAAAACAAGTTTTCTAGGGCCACGTGTTGTGCCGGGGTCGCAAGCACAGGGCACGAGCAACAGTCACCCGACTGGAAGCATCTGCTTTTCGAGGCTCTGATTCACACTAGAAAAGCCCTTCAATTTCCCAGACAGACCTGCTGCAGCTTTTGGAGTCGCCGCGATGTTCGCCGTGCCCGCTTTTCCCACGCATGCCCACTGCTGGTGGGTCGAGGTGGCGCAGTGATGGAGACGGAACAAACCGAGCTCGAAATTTCATGCCTGCATCAGAGCCAGAGCCACACAACAAGCTGATTGCCTAGCTTGTGACTCAGCCGGCTGAAACTGACTTGAGAATGCCACCCTAAGTCCTAAGTTCATGCTGCGAATGCCAGGCGTGATAAGAAGCCGGCTTTAGTGACAATCGGTGACGAGCAGTGCTCAACAGTGTCCAAATGTGTCAACATGTGTCAACATGTGTCAACATGTGTCAACACGCGTCAATGTGCGTCAACATGCATCAACATGTGTCAGCGCCTCCTCCTTGAAGTTCGTTGCCTGCACTGCTGTCATGGAAGCAAGTGCGACACCAACGGCTAGATTCCCCATTCCAGTTTTGCACGAACCCAGGCCGCGGCCTGCGCACTCGATCTCGCTTGCAAGAGTCGGCCTCGCATTTCCAAGCATGGCTCAGCTCGAACTGTCGCGGCAATTTCTTGGCGCCACCAGCCTCAGCCATGACTGCCACACCAAACACCTGCACAAGCTCTGGCCAACGCACTGAAGAAGCAACGATCATTTGCTTAGATCGCAATGGCCACAGGACCTATAGGACGTGTCCAAAAGAACACGACGAAAACATCACAAAATACGGGGGCATGCAAACTGGAAAGCCCGCAGCAGAGTAGCTTTCACGCAGCTGCATGCGGTCAAATTGAGCTCGGGCTGACAGTGTAGATTAGCGTCAATTATGTTGCCGTGTTTTTGTGCAGATGCGCTGGATGAAGGAATGGAGCCGCTTTTTCTTGCTGTGTTTGCTTTAGTGCTTGCCGGAGCGAGCACCGGCGCTAGGCATCACTTCAGCCTCCACACACACTCCTCGCACTCCCCACAAACCGCGAACTCCCCACACTCCCGCATTCCCCCCCACTCCACCACACATATCCACACTCGACCACACGTCAGCACTACACTCCCACCAACCACCACACTCCACACTCCAACGCACACCCCACGCCGCCGCACATGCGCTCAGTTGGAGGACTGGCGACCTTGATTGACAGATTCGATGAATGGCGACCCCCTGCCCCCCAACCCCCACCAATGTTGCCGTTAGGATGTTGCGCCCCACCAAAAACATATGCATCAACATCAGAATTGGTATGAGGAAGAAAAGCCTGCGAGTGCTAGTAACCGCCTCAATAGGAAGATTCTGAAGTGTAAAGATCCTTCATAAGCTGGAGGCCAAGAAAAAGAAACCTAACAAAGCGCGGGACAGTGGGAGCGCCCTGCTTTCGCATTTTGTTGCCACCTGAACTCCACCTCCGTCTGGGCCGAGTCAGCCAAGCCAACCCAAGCCAACTCCTAGCCAGCCCAAGAAAGCAGCTCCACCGCCCAATCCCCCAAACAGAAGCAAGCTTCGGACTTTATGTGTAGTAATACAGAAAAATTCTGCCAACCTTCATGCTTCAGATTTGGCAGATTTCCATATTCTGGTTTCTGTACATGCGTTGTTCAACATTGCGCTTGACATCTTTCATATGATAACATTCGACCAGTTTCCAAGTCATGTTCGCCCTGTGAACGCAAGACGCTCATTGAAGACCGGCGTTTCTTAAATGCATCGATGAACATGAGAACTGTTGTACACGATTCGTGCTCGCCTGTGTACGTGTGCGAGCTTGACTGCGCACGCGTATGTGAGAGCGAGGGAAAGACAAAGAGAGAGAGAGAGAGAGAGAGAGAGAGAAAAAAAAAAAGAGGAGAAAAAAAAAATCCGTGTGTGTGCGTGTGTGTGTTGGTTGATTGTCGTGTTCCCCCCCGACTTGGGTTTTCTTTTCAGTTTTCTCTCCAGAGAGTCCAGTGCCTCAGTCAGCGGATGCCAGCGGGACTTGCTCTGGAGCAGGTTTGTCGTCGTAGACCTTATGGCAGATGTCACCGAAATGCGAAGGGAAGAGGCACATTCGGAAGAGCATGCTTTGGGTTTTTCCGTCGTTTGTTGTTTGGCGTGTCCGCTCTCTCTCAGGAGGGTGCGTTGCCAAACTCATCCGGACGGCTTGGGTCCACCTTGTAGATATGTCGCCTCCGCGTCTCTGCTTCAACGTCGGCAGCAGCAGCTGCAGCGGCAGCGGCAGCGGCAGCGGCAGGGGCAGGGGCAGGGGCAGGGGCAGGGGGAGGGGCAGGGGCAGGGCAGGGGCAGGGCAGGGCAGGGCAGCAGCAGCAGCGGCAGCAGCGGTAGCAGCGGCAGCAGCAGCAAATCCAGGAGCCCAGCTGGTAGAGGAAAACGAAGAAAATCACATCATCACGCAAGGTCATGTACCTGTCAGAGCTTGGATGCACTCGAACATATGCGACAACATGACGACTACACTAAGACAAGAAAACAGGCCGCCAGCAGCGAGAAATTCCCTATGCAGAGCATGCAAATCCTCAGCAAACTGTTTCTGGAGAATGCCATGGACGTTCGGGAATGTTGTCCAGCCAGGTGCCCAAGGTTTGTTGTGAATGCCTTGTCACGGCCACCAAGACCTACAACGATGATCACCTTAAGCCTGAAGCCCAAAAAACCTTTAGCGGCAGCATTGTCATGCTTGGATTGCCTTACTCGACCCTGGTGGGTCTGCCATCTCTGGATCCCATGGATGATGTGGAGATCGACAAGCAGGCTCAGAATTCTCCCTGGCACTCGTCATTCATGTGTTCAAGGTCAAGAAAATCTTTCCAGCCGTCAAAGATGAAGGTGCTTGGCAGGGAGTGGAGCGCGACGTGCAATCCTATCTCGATCAACTTGGCGATAATCTCAAGTGATGTTAGGTTGATGTCCTGATGCTCCGGTGACGGGTTTCGCTTGTGTCACTCATATGATGGCATGCCAGATTTTGTGGATTGGAGTGTGGGCCGGAGTGTCTCTTGTAGCTGTTGAGCCTGTGCCCTCTTGGGCTACACCGGGCAGTATGGCGCGTATTGTCCGGCCAATCCTATGACAGGCTCCCTGACTCAGCTTACATGACCTCATGTGAACGCTGCCAGACAGAGAGAGAGAGAGGAGGGAGTGAGTGAGGGAGGGAGGGAGGGAGGGAGGGAGGGAGAGGAGGAGAGCGAGAGAGAGGGAGCGAGAGAGAGAGAGAGAGAGAGAGAGAGAGTTTCAACCAGAGTTCTAAGGAGATTGCTTGACCCGGCCTGTGCTTGTTAGTCATCTGGTCTGCTGCAATAACGAAGGCGAAGATGTCATCCTTTGATTGCAAAGGATCCATCGTCAACATCAAGAGCACGGTTTGTCGATCCATGTGCTCTGATGTGCGGTGGGGCTTTCTGGTCGAGAGGCAATGAAAGTGTTGAAGAACTTGTACATCAACACCCTCCAAGGCATGTGGGCCTCAACCGGACCAGGAACAGGCAACTCCTCGACAGCTCTAGTCGTCTGTGCACCAAGGACTCGGCTACTGACTTCAACTTGTAGTTGATAAAGATCTGCCTGCTGCGTTTGTAGCTGTCTGACGCGCAGCGCTCGCTGGAACATGTCATGACATTTGGTGCGGGAGAAACGGCATGCGCACGGCATCATGTTCACGAACCCGAAGGTGTAGGCAAAATCTGCCTGACACCATTTGCTGGAGTCTCTAGGCATGAGCTCAGCAAATTCAGGGCAACTCGACAGGCGGACCATAGATGAAACCATCCAACTCCACCAACTTTTGTAGGAGTAGTGATACAAGCTGTACCTTAGGTGCTTCATTTCAGAATGCGCATGCCCGAAAGCAAACCAAAATCACATAACGGAACTAACCAGTGGCACCAAGCAGCAATCCCCAAGCGGCTGAAAGCGGATATAAGATGTACTTCAAGTAGCGCATACCCCTGCACCATTACAAGCAAGACTTCTTGTAGGACAGCTCAGAAGATTCGCCTGGCGTCTACCTCCTCTGTGAAGGCTTCACCAACCTGCTGTCACATCGGTTTGCGTCTGCGTCCAACTCTCGTGAATGCATTCATAAAGGACAAGCCTCCTGGCAATCTTCTGGCGAATTGGCCATGCAACGGCCATATTTTGCCCAAGGAAGGAAATACGACCTTGGAGAAAAGACCACAGCCCAATGTTCCATTCCAGTGACGTTCTGCCACGAAAGGTTCTGCACCAGATGAGAAGGTCCGTAGCTGTCTGTTTCCGTGAAGCTGCATCTTGTCAGCAGCGTTGGCTTGTTGTCGTTGAGGGCCTCCCCTTCCTGGCCTATTGATTTGTGTTCCGAACGTGCCCTTGCCACCACACAGCATATTCAGTTGGAGCATATTCAATCAGGCTTGCCTATATACATACATATGTATGTATGTGTATATATATATATGTATATATATATATATATATAAGGTCAACCCCCCCCTCTCCCCCCATGATCCACCTTGATGGTCTGGTTCCCCTCGGCTTGTGATTCAAGTTCCTGTGTTTCAAGCTACGAACCCGCCGGTATCTAGCACTTGTTTTCTGAAACCGGACTCCGGTTTTTGATTCAGTCATTTCTATATGTTAGAACACCAGTTTCAGCTACATTCGATCTCCCCAAAAGCACAACCTGAAATCTCATGTGTGCATCGCACCCATCTCCCCCGATCAGCAAAACCCAGAACAGGAGTTATTTAGCTTTTGTATATATTGCGCGAGAATGTCAAGCATCTTCCCCCCGATAAGCAAGACCAAATTCGGGGTTGTTCTGTTTATGTTGTACGTAATATTAATATGTTGTGTTGGGCCGATACGCAAAACCTGGTACAGCTCGAGTTTCGTGGCCCTGGCAGGGCCAAAAAAACTATAAGTCCGTTCGAGCCGGCTGGAAAATCTGAAACTTCTGAGGGAGAGAGTGCTGACAGTATGTATATATATATATATGTATATCTATCTATCTATCTATCTACATACGTCCTGCCGTGGGGGCCGCGGCTTCGTTCTGGAGACAGGTGCGGCGCAAGGTCGCGAACTCGTCCGATGGCCGTGAGAAAGAGAGAATCCATCAGTTCTCCCGCAAAGAGTCCTACCCCGGAGAATCCCGCAAGAGTCCCGCCGAGTGTCCTTGTGTGCCCACCCTCAAAGAATTTCACAGAAAGTCCCGCGACAGAAGCCTGCGGCTGCTAGGTATCCTTATGGCGCCCACATCGGCTTGGGCTGTGGGGATGGTCGAAGTAAATGTCTTTTGAAAACAGATTATCCCCATTCTTGAACTTGGTGTCTTATGCAAAGTAGTTTTACAGCTAGTCGTATATCACATGTATATATGTACATACATACACACATGCATACATACATACATACAGACATACATACATACAGGGCGCGCAGGGAGGGGTGAATGGACATGAGTGAAACTGCATTCATTGTCTGACGCCGCATTGCGGGGTGACGCCGAACTATCCGAATTGCCCCTGAAAATGAACTACGGCATGAAGCCGAATTCCCCCCTGATGCCGAGTTACGAAGCTGCATTACCAATTTTGAAGCCGAATTACCCCCTGACGCCCCCTGATGCCGAATGGTGAAGCCGAAATACCCCCTCACGCCGAACTGTGAAGCGGAATTTCCTCCTGATGGCCCCGGACGCCGCACGTGCCGGCAACAGCAGGATGGCTTGGGGAAGCAGTTTGCGGCTTTTAGTAGAGCAGCTTTCGGAGTCTTGGTTAATTTGTGACCCATCGACTACCCCGAAGCTTGCCACGAAATCCATTGGGTCACAATGAAAAATTTCCAAATATATGTATACATTGCGGCCAGGGCGGGGAGGGCTTGAATCGACCACAGCCAAAGCCGCTGCGCAGAGCCGAATTAATATGCTTAAAGGGCCAAGTCGGCGAAGCCCCGTTTCCTCTCACGAGTTCTTTTGCTTGCAAGTCTGTAGGGGGCTCGGTGCAGGACTTTCATCCAGCGATCTGTCCAATATGTAAGAATGATGCGGGAGAATAGCCCTGTTGCACGTTTATGCCGACTTCATCTTTACTCAACTCAGCCTGCGGCCACCTCGTTCCAAGTCGCGCAACACCTTTGCTCCCATCGGCTGCGGTGCACAGCAGTGCTTCTCAGAAGGTGGAGGTAACAGAGCATCTCTAGCAACACATGCAAACTTGGTTGCTTGGCGGGCATACTTCCAAAAGCTGATGGCGGCAGACCTGAGCGAGCAGACTGCGCACAGCCAGAGTCGGCCAAAAGTGTCGGTTTCTACTTGACTTCTTCTAGCTGCAAGCCGTTTAGCCCCAGCATCTCAAGTTTCACCGTTGTCAATCACCCCTTGGCAAGGTCCATGTTCCCAATGCAGCCTCAATGAGCCGTTCGCTTCATGCGCACTCACATGACCAAGCTGGTTCCCCGTCAAGTAAAGTTGCAGCACAAAGACCTCGGGCCGGGCTGGATCCATCAGACACTTCCAGCCCCGAGCTTACACGACAGTCCAGTACGCTGTAGTTCTCTTCCGACCAGACATGCCAGGCGCACGTGCGCACGTGCAGACGTGGGCACGCACCAGCACGCACCAGCATGCACCAGCACGCACCAGCACGCACCTGCACGCACCAGCACGCACCAGCACGCACCAGCACGGACCAGCACGGACCAGCACGGACCAGCACGCACCAGCACGCACCAGCACGCACCAGCACGCAGCATCACGCAGCATCACGCACAAGAACAACAACATGACCTGCAATGGAAACGAATGGCTTCTGCAATTCCTTCTAGGAACTCGTGCAAAGCCACCCAACAAGTCCTGTCCTGTAAAACTGCACATGCACTACGTCAAAAGCAATTCGAAAAGAAATGCAGGCGAAAGATAAACATCCGCATCCCACATGGCAGACTAGGCCCGACTAGGCCCAACGCATCCCAAGCTGCAGCAGCAACAGCCTGGAGATGCTGTCGAAGTCATAGAGATAGAAAAAAATCACGATCTCCTTGCGAAGGCCATCGCACTGCTATGCTGACAGCCATCTGATACCTCGTGCCCTTGCCAGATTCTTAATGCAGAGGTTATCCTGAATGGTGTCAGTCGCAAGGGATCGGCTGGACAAGCCCGTGTAGTCAGAACCTCATTGCGACGCATTGCATATGAGCATGGGTAGCATGTCTCGCACAGTGGCTCTGGGGTGCTCCACGTCCTTTGAAGAATGTGATGTCGTTCTTGAATGCGAGCCTGCCAGGCCGAAGCAAAGATGTTTCTGCTCTTGGCTTCGATGCTGCTTAGGAATTTAGAAGGAATGCCTCAAATCCACTTATGGGATTTCATTGTATGGTGGCGGCCATGGGCAAAGGCAAAGTCCCCGTGATACAGAAACAGGTTCGGAACCAACGCCGAAATAGAACAGATGGACAGTGACACCCCTCAAGCCCCGTCAACTCGAGAGGAATGCAAAGCAGAAGCTGGCAACAGCACGATGAGCTCAGCACAAAGCATTCGCAAAGTCATCTGGAGGAACCCGACGACCTGCGTCCAGCAGTGAGAATACCGCACCAGCGCAAAGATCTCGCCATAGCGAGAGACGGTGAGAACAAGCTCGAAAAAACCTGGTAGGCAATCATGACGTGAATTGGCTGCCGGAAGAAGAAATCCTTGGCCGTTACAAGTCGGAGCCGCCGCCTTTGAAGCTCTTCGACTCTTCGACCCACTTAACTTCAGTCCTTCAAGTCCTCGAGGTCCTGCTCCCGAATTCCCATCTGCAAGTACCTGCTTGCTACTTGCTGCGACATGTTACGACTTTGTTCCGGTCTTTGCATGGGAGATGCTCTAAGTACCGGGGCACATCTTCATAGCCTCTCGAAATGTTTGTACTATGCTGTACTTGAGCATGCCTGTGAACTCCACCTGCATTGCACGGAGAAGTTCTTCGAAGCTCTTCAACTCATGTTGGAATAAACTTAGGAGAAGAGGGGCCTGGCTGATCGAAAACAATCTCGTTGAGAGATTTGTGGCGGTGATGACATACGTTGGGCAATTATGCTAGGATCTGCGTCTTCGGGTTGCTGTACAGTAACTGAGAAGCTGGAAAGGAGAAAGCGGAGACTGAACCCGTGGTACTGGTAGCACAGGGCACAGGGCGAGTCATGCGCATGCGACTTAATTCGTTCGGCATTGCCAAGCCTATTCTACGGAAAGCAAAGGAGCAACCTGATTGGAACCATCTCAAGGCTCAAGTTTGCGAAAAAAAGTTCTAGCGGCTGCATGTGCAAGGATGTGCAAGGTGCGCGCGCCATGGGTTTCTGCTTGATTTTGTTTTTGCTTTTGTTGCTTTTTGCACCTTATCATCAAATTATCTTGGTCTGTGCCTGTGCAGCCTGTGCATATAGAAACAGCAGCTGCAGGCTGTAGCTGTAGCTTTTTGCACGGGGCACGACAAACTGCCCTGTATTCAGGAGATGTGCGGCATGGCATGTCAGGGACACCGGAGGAAAATTTTTGTACACGCCACAAAGACTACTTAGATAGCACAACAAGCAGCCACCGCAACACAGCCTCGGCCTACGATATGAAAGCAGAGACTGAACTTATTCCTCCAGCCTCAATGTACATGTCGGGATCAGACCTGGCCAGGCGCATGTCCACTTTCCCAGCCATGCTACCTGCATTTTGGCTAGGCACGTGAACGCCTGGAGACATTGCTGTCCAACGGTGTCCATGTTTTGGAATGATAACCTGACAAGATCACAAGTCCCGAGTTTCACTGGTGCATCCAATTCTTTTTGATGGATTGCATTGCTGCAGATGTTGACGGCTGTTTGTGACATTCCTTTACTTTCCACTTTCCTCTTGCATCTTCTCATGTTCCTGGCTTCTTCGGGGCTGCCGACGAAAATTCCGCACAACGGGCGAACATTTCGTTTTTCTGCGGGTTGGGACCGACAAAATACAAAAAGCGGTGGGCATTTGGCCTGTTGTCGTGCTTGTCCCGAAACCGTGAAACGCCAAACCCTTCGCAGTGGATCCGGACCAGAGCCTAACAGAGTTTCATTCTTGAGTACATATGCGGCGCTGGAGAAGTTTCTTCCGGAGGCCCCCGCCCCACCAAAATTAGATCCTGCCACGCCCGTCCGTCCGGAAACGAATGTGCCCATCCAAGCACAGATCGAATGTTGGAACGGTTTCTGTTGGAAGTTTGGTTCTTCCAAACCAAATGCCTTGAGTCGTAACTCTGCTTTTTTGCCTGATAGCCGCCACAGCCGAGCGGTGGACGACGCCCTGGGGCACAGGCCACAACTAAAGCTTCAGGAACCCCAAGGAGTCAATAGGGACCCCAATGGAAAGTTCCGTCCCAACATGTCCCAACCCATCACGACCCCCGTTTTGAGCACATTGGGCTCAGTCTGCACAGGCGTCGTCTAACACTGTCCCGTGAGTAGTGGTGCTTACCAACATCCAACTCAGTTCAACTCACCGTGCGGAGCTGCTAACGCAATGTCATACAGGGCTTGAGGGGGAGTTGCTCGGTCGCTTTTCTTGCGGTCTTGCAACTTAGGGTTTGGGATGGACACGGGGCGAGGTCCGCTTTCCTTTGTTGCAATAACAAGTTAACTTGAGCTGTGCGTCCACGGTCCACATGCAGTGAAGTTCTGTCAGTTCCTTGCATAGTATCAACTCCGGAGCTTTCTGAGCCATGGGCTAGCTGTATCTACATAGAAGGGCGGGGCATACTTTGGCCCTTCCGCATGCCTGCTTCACCGAAACCGGGACAGCTGTCTTCACAATGCAAGGGCCCGAGGGTGCACAGACAACGGCCTTGGAGGCAAAAGCGTGTACCTGACCTTAGCAACATATGCAACAGACAAACAGCTTGACCAACTCTGCCTGCAAAAACTGTTCTAAGCCATCGGACGTCTCGTTCTCGCACAGCCAAGCCATGCTCAATCAGCAGCTCCTCAAGGCACAGGGCACTGCGCCATTCTAGTGTCCTGTGCTAGCCCAACCTTGTAAAGCAAAGGTGGTGGGTACCTGCCGTCGTAAGCCTGCAGGCGAGGGTGTGTCAAAGACGGCCTACTGTGGTAGCCAGCCGCCTCGGAATCAGCTGCCAATTCCTCTGCAGAGATCGGCAGAATGCAAACTCAGAAATCCACCTGCGCAGCACCCGGATGAGGCCCAGGCCATGCGCAAGACTGGGACCAAATGTGGTATTTTGTCAGCTTTCGCGGGCTCAGAATGCCAAAAGCATCCAACATGCACAAGCACAATGCAGCTCTTGAGGCAGTTTACTGGCATGTTCTTTACTGGCATATGTGTTCAAATTCCGATTGAGGCCTGTGCCACTTGAAGAGCAGTGTGCGCGGCCACATCGCCAGACACCGCCTACCAAGACAAACAATTCCTAACCCATCCCACATACATGCTTGCGCTGCCAACCTCGCTGCTTGAAAGCTGCACCAGGAAGGGAACCACAACTGCAAGAAGGCCTGCGGTGAGGAAATTGCACGACGCAGAGGGGAGGAAAAAAGGTCTGTGACCAGAAAACGTGACGTCTGATTTTCAACAGCCAAGAGTCCATGCCGCAAGGCTGCCAGAAACAGCGTCGGCCTTGGACGCAAAGTGGCCCTGGAAACAGGTGCTTCCACACGCATGCCGGCCCGCAACTGTGCAACGTTGTTTCCCTGCTTTCTAGTGTCCTGTTACCCCTGTAGACAAACCCCCCACCCACCCCGGTCCTCCCACTCTTTGGACCCAGAGAGCAACGCAGGAATCCTGCCCCGTTGAGAAAACTCATGAACTTTAGAGATCCTGATGTTCGTTTCGACTTTGCAGGCAATCCACCAACAGGAAATTCTGAAAATCCTAGCCAACACAAAGGAGTTAACTTCACGAATTTCCGAATGGCTTCTTGAATTGCGAACAATGTATAGGCAAAAGGACGCCACCCCGCCACTCTTTTAAAGGTTTTGGGGTCCGCCACATGTTTCTACAAATTTCAGCTTTCCAACTAATCACCCCCTTCCACAACCCACCCCCTAACTTGGAAGTGCCTAGACGATCCCCGGAGCGCCTACTCGCAGATGAACTCCTGATGCAAATCACAAGCTGTGCAACTGTACAGAAAAACATATGCACAAACAAAATGCTGCCGAAACGACAAACTCGCGACCAGAATTCTGAGCATCACGTGGTTCTTAACTGTGCTCTGTGTATTGGGATTGCAAGAACCACAAAATGATAAGAGCCCAAGGGTGGCGACCAGACAGGCCAACAAGAACCAAGAAGTCACAACCAACAAGATTGACCGAGCAAGAGGCGGAACACGTCAGAAATCTGCAAGCTGACTGGCGGGAAAAAGCATGCATCATGAATATACGCTTGTCCCAAAAGCCCCACACCGCCGGACCGATGCCCGAAAGCCCTAAAACCAAAACAAACAGAGACCATCATATACCCGAACTAAAAACCATGGGCAAGTGCTGGTCAGTGCAGCAATCGGTCCTGGAATGGCTGCTCGGCTGATTCACTGCATGGAAATAGCAGCACTTAGTTTTTTTTATTCTCTTGCAGAAGTATCCAGCCGAGCAGTGAACTCGAAGAAGTGCGACACGAAGAAAAGTGACCCCGCCTTGCAAGATACGCCCCAGCGGGCTTAGCGACTTAATTCAGAAGTTACCTACTGCGCAGCTTCAGAATGCACAAGTCAGCTGAGGTCGGCACCCAAAATGCACAGCTTCTAGGATAAATCGAAATGGTCCAGCCTCAGCTCGATGGTCGTCCCTCTATGTCGGGCTATCTGAACCCGAAAGCCCCAGTCCAACCGTGGTGTTGCCAACTTCCTCAGCAACTTCACATGTTTCCTCTCGACCCCTTGTTAGCCTTTCTGCGTAACTTAAATCACATACTGTAGCAGCTTGACACACCGTTCTGTTGATATACCACAACGTTCGACGTAGCCCCGAGTGCACTCCGACATATTCCAAACGACACCGGACCCTCAATGCCCTCTGACACCACAAGATTTGCAGATGAGATTCGGCCTGTGGAGACGTCTCACTGCCCCTGTTTGGACCCTCCGCGATGCGAATTTCTACCAGGCCAGGCGGCGACACGAGAGAAAGCTTTGGACCTTGTACGCACCAGCCGTCGAGGCCGTAGATCGAGGACGAAGTGGCTTTCAAGGTGGGGGAAGTTCCCTGTTCCAGCAACAATGTTTGCCGATGTTTGCCGGAAACTTTTGGAAGGGCATCGGGGCCTGGGAGGGTCAGAGCCAAACATTTCTTGGAGAAACTAGCAGCCTTTCTGGCGGGGCCGCCATCGAGCATTCGGCGGGCGAGCAGTTGACGCAATTGAGCGCCTTACCCACCCTGAAAGCTGCGGCTCAGCTGCAATGAGACGAGCTGAGGCTGATTTCAAATTAGGGGCAGACCTGAACGCAAGGTCACCTCGACTGAGTGCCTTTGTGCATGGGGCATGAGGAACAAGCTGCCACAAGCTCGCGTGTTCCACTGCCGGATAAGTTCCCAGCTCCGAGGTGTGAGAGTCGTTTTGCTGCTGGGCCTAGCAAAAGCAAAATGCATGGCGCTTCCTGTCTTCTCTGTCAAGAAAGAACTCTGCAGAATGGTTTTCAGGTTCAGTCCAGAAGATTGCGCCGCTGCCGTTGAACCTGTATGATCGACAAAGCCAATCCTGCAGCTACCATGCGTCTGGCTACAACGAATGAGCCAATGCCTGTGGCAAAGTTTTGACTATCTGAGATGTCGTGTGCAGCCTCAGGCAACAAGTGGCGCCACACAGCACTGGCATCACTGGCATAACGAGCCCAAGCTGAGGCCCAGGACGCATTGTCGCTAACAATGCCAGCCAATCCGGGATGTGGCCTGATCTTCCCCTTGTGAATGTGAAAGCAGTTGGGGTGCCAAGATGCCGTTTTCTTTGGGGGTGGGCGAGCTGCGAATCTCGTCGGACAGCCTTCGTGCCAAACCAAGCTTCAAGCAAGGCATGAACATCAAGCAATCCGACGTGTCACGAAGGTATGCCGAGGGTATGCTCACTGCGTGCTGCGCAGTAAGTACTGCGACATAAACACAGTCCGGAGCTGCAGTATATTCCGTTGGCACTCAGAAGTGTGAAAAGTGCACTCCACCGTGTCCCTGCTGGGTGGGTCGGCACCCTCCACGCTGTGTTTGCTAAACACATCCAAACACGGCCGTTTTTGTGGGCTTGCCGGCTGGGACCGCTGCGCGCCTCTTACTCTCCTACCTCTCCTCTCCCACGCGGTTCCTCATGCTCCGCCGCCTCCTCTCTTTTTGAACACATTTCACTCTATGGTTGTGGAAGTTCTTGCTACATGCTGAATCTAGCTTTCAGCTGCTGTGCAAGGGTTGCGGCCATTGCAGAAGAGCCAATGAAAGGGAGCACGAACTTGACTGGCTGATACTGGCTGCGGTTAGGTTCGGCAGCTGTTCAACACACTGCCGCATGCTGAAAATCCGAGTTCTCTTAAACTCAACGTCCCCGGAGGATGTGATGACCACGTTGAAGCATTTCCAAGAGATGTGTCCCCGATGCCCATCCGGAGTTAGCTGGCGCTGACACTGCTAATCGGCCCAAAACAGCCCATACTTCCAAGCAGAACGAATGGCATAAAATACTGGAACGTGCTCCTGGCAGCAGCCCTGATGAGGAAGCAGTGGACAAGCAGCACTGACTCATTGCGCCGGACCTGGATTCAACGCGTGCTTTGCGGATCGAATGAGTGCTCTGTTCTACATTGGTAACTGAGAACTGAACACAGGAATCAAGGCATGAGCCGCAAAAGCCGCAAAAGCCGACAAAGCCGCAGCGACTACGGCCCAGACACTTTGCAGCTGCGACCGAGAAAGCGGCAGTGCTGCCCTGGACCAAGCCGACTCGAAAATTGGTGGATGCGGGAGCTAACACTTTGTGTAGCAAATGTAGCAATGACGTGGAGGCGGGGCTGTAGCTGGGAAGGTTGACCATATGAAACCTCAAGCGACGGAAGCTGCTTTGACCAGTCTTGCATGTCCGAGGCCACTGAGGCCACGGCAGTTGCATTGAAGAAGGGCACGAGCTGCTCGAAGCCTCTGCACGAGAACTTGCACGAATGGACGAAGTCGGACTAGGCATTCATTTTAAGCTTCGATTGTTACTTTTATTCAGTATTTATCCGTCGTCTGCTTGGTATTGCTGATAACAAGTTAGAAGCAGCAGTCGCAAATTCCGTCTGGATGATTCTTTAAAATGGGTCTTTCGCCACACAAATGTCCATGAATTCGGAGGGAGATTGTTGTTGGGCCCTGGCTTTTTTCGGTGGGTCTCGTTCTTTGCTTAGGATACAATTTCCCCCGAATTCTAACCATTTCCCGACTACGCATGTTGATGCTCCTGCTACTGCTCATGCTGACTTGTAATACGGGGCCCTCCAACCGGACCTTTAGGGGAAAATGGACCTACAAAGCTTTCTACGCAAGGAGTGTGGAAACCTTCAAATTGCCCGCAAGATGTCCCTCTCCTACTCTCCTGATTCGCTTCGCTTGATTGTTCGTCTTGGGTTGCACACATGCTTACACGGCCATATGTGCTGGGTGAGCTTCAGTAACCCCAAACGGCAGTATTGGACAACTCGACTCTCAAGCGATCCTTTGAATCAATCAGCCGAAGACTGTGCTCAAGCACGAAACTCTATCGGGTTACTATCCCTCTCTGCATCGGCCATATGCAAAGCTTGCATGCAGTGCGCTTGGCCTTCGTCACTCCACCACCGTAGCGTCTTGTTTGTCGTAAGGAACACCTTGCGCTTGTAGAGGAATCAGAACTCTTTGCCACAGCAAGTGACGTGAACTTGGTAAGGTCGTCACCGAGATATTAACCAGCTCACCTTTCTGAAAGAGAGGACCTGCGCCAGGTCACGAGGCAACTGTACCCCTGCAAGGGATACATGCCCGCGCGGCGGTAGCAGGGTTGCTGCTCAAGGTCCGTGGGACACCGTGGAGCATGGAACCTGGACCATGCATTCCAATACATCACGAATACATCACGCAGCACCTGCAAACTGAGCCAAGCCCACGCCGAGTAGAGCTGCCAGGCGACGCTAACAAGGTACCTTGTGAAAGGGTACAGACTTCAGCTTGGATGGCGCACAGTTCAAAGCTCAGGCGCACCAAGCAAACAAGGCTTGAAATGCACGAAGTACCGTTCCCATGATTGGAACCAGCTACATGCGGCTGCACGTCATTGTATACAGCATGAAGTTCTTACGCTGCGTATTTTCGCAGCCTCACTTGCGCTAGAGTATGGCGATCTCATAGTTTGACTGCAACTGCACTGCATAAACATCATCTGGGTTTTGCATGAATTGGTCGGAGACAGCATGCATCATGTGCCTTTATCATGTAGGGAGTTGTGACAGTGTGTCGCGGCATGCATCGCGTTCAGTAGTGATGCCAGCGACGTCCAATACCCTTTGAACACACGCAGTGGAAATGTCTATCAAGTACACGACGAACTCCAAGACAAGTACTGTAGACCCAGTGGAACAAGAGACTGGGTTAGCAGACTCAAATGTTCCGGAGCAAGGACCTTTTTACCACTCAGACCTGTGTTGTCTATCCTCGCCCGTTCAGGCCATCGTGGAAGAAGCAAACAGCTCGATGCAAGTCCTCGTCTCAAACTGCTCAATCAATGCGCAGGTTGGGGCCTAAACAGGAGCGGGGCGGAGGCCCAAGCAGGTCGGGACATTCGGTGTTGCGTAGTGTCGCTGCAAAGGAAGGTCGGTAGCTGCTTGTGCCGGATATCTCAGAAACCAAACGCGCGCCACGGATGTCCTGTACTCCTCGGCATGCGTGAGCTTGTGGAAGCAGTGCCTGGATCAATCACTGCTCGAGATCGCAAGGGCGTGCCGAATGTGAACTGAGATATCACTCGCAGCATGTCCATGCTTCGCATGCGACTCCCACTTCCATCCAGGGGGGCAAGCTCTTCTTCCCTTTTTCTGCACTCGTTGACTTCCCGGCAGTCTGTTGGCTGGCCCCTCCCGTTTTGCCTGGTCTTCGCAGTCATCGAACATGTCTCACCCCAAAATTCGTCCATCCTGCGGCGTCGTTGTAGCTGCAGCCATGGCCTTGTCTTCCTTCATACAACAAATAGCTACTCCTAGCCTCTTCTACATCCTTTTACCCTTCTGTTCCCCCGGCCGACTCCGGCTTCTGGAAACTCTCCCAAACTAGCCATGGCATTGCCTGGCCCGCTCTGCTCTGCGGACTTGTTTTGTCTTCTGTGCCTGGTCGACCGCAATGGCCCAGTTGCCCAGTTGATACTCGCACCGTCTTCACGCAGGCGGCAGTGGCGATCCATGTTCTGCCATGGACTGCAGCGCCTTGTGCAGCGCCCTGCCCTTGGTCTGGTGTTTGAATTTGTTCGGCCTTTACGTCTTTCATTTCATCCTTATTTCGTCTTCATTCTGGAGCTGGGGATCGAGATGGATCGAGATGGGTCGAAGCCCGTTGCCGGCCCTGGTTTCTAGCCAGCTGTGACAACCAGGGCATGGGCACAGCGCAGTCCAACTCCCCCAACGCGCAGAAAGGGGCGTGGATAATCAGGGTCCCCCCCCCCCCACTCCCGCCAAACAAAAGGCCTTCCCCCCCCTAAACAACAAAACTAACGAAAGGCCTCCCCCAGGAAAAAAAACGCGCGAACAATCGGAAAAAACAAACGGCGAAACACTCGAAAAAACACTGATTTCTGTCGACTTGTCGGGTTTTCAACGATATTTGCGTTGTTCTGCTTTCTCGCACTGCGCACTGACTCTGGTCTCCTTCGCTCACCGCTGTGGCCACCCACTGCAACTGCTTCCAGTCCCTGCTGCTCCTTCTGCTGAAATCGAGTATATACCGGTCCCAAATGTCCCACACGCGTCACACCAACAACGCCTTCGGGCAGAACCGGGCAGTGGAAAGGGCCCTCTGATTCCCTCTCTATTCCCTCTCTGTTCCCACCATGTTCCCTCTGATTACTCTGTTCCCTCTGTTCCCTCTGTTCCCTCTGTTCCCTCTACGTATTCCCTCTATTCCCGCTATTCCCTTGCATTCATCCACCTTTGCTTCGGACGATGACTTGCGCCTCTCGAACCTTCAATAGGGAACCCTAGTCCAGCTTCTCTACCTCAACAACGCTGTGCCCCCCAACCCCAGAGGATCTATACTGCTCTTCCTTCCTGCACGCATAACCCTTCGGAAGGGTAGGGGGTGAGGGCGCCGAAAAGGCATGCACTGCCCGTCTGTGTGAGACATCTATCTCTCTTTCTCTCTTTCCTTCTTCGGGATCTCCCTCCCTCTCTTTCTCTTTCTCTTTCTCTTTCTCCTCCTCTTTCTCTTTCTCTTCCTCTTTCTCTTTCTCTTTTTCTTTCCCTTCCCATTTCCCTTTCCCTTTCCCTTTCTCTTTCTCTTTCTCTTTCTCTTGCTCTTTCTCTTTCTCTGTCTCTTTCTCTGTCTCTGTCTCTGTCTCTCTCTCTCTCTCTCGCTGCCCTTCCTACCTGGCGCAGAGGAACCCCCAGTTGGGGGCCCAAACGCAGGCATGTGTGACGAGTGCGCGTTTGTGTTTCCGGTTTCCTGGATATGGATGTGGACATCCTGTGCTCTCTCTTCTTCTTCTTCAATTCTTCTTCGTCAGCGCAAGATCGGCTCTTGGGCGCCTTGATTTCTCGATGCACCAAACTCGCGGTTGAGAAAGTCCCTTGCGGCTGGGTCGGTCCTTTACTTCCTGGGCCAGTCAAGGGATGACATGCCAATGACTGTCACGTCTGGACTACAGTGGCTAAGCTGGACATTCTCGGACGTAAAAAAGACGCGCTCTGCAGAGAGCAGCCCTCCTGCAAGTACCTTTCCACACCCTGCGCCAGTATAATGTTGTCATCCTGCGCAAGTTTCCAGACCCCATGTGCGCTGAAAGGTAAACACGGCATCAGGCCAAATCTTCCCAGAGGGTCCTTGGAGTAGATAAACTGCAAAGGAACTGGCGGCTCCATTCGATGTACGATCGCTGTGTCCGCATCGGCCAGCTTTGTAAGCGACTTGTGCGGCTTGGTGTACAGGTGTGACTTTGCCGCAGACTGTGCCTGGCAGTAAACCTGCCTGTACATGTGTGCAATACTGTGCAAAACATTTCAATGCCCATGCACACACACACACACACACACACACACACACACACACACTTCTTTTTGCCATGCCACGCCAATCAAAGAGGCCACGGCCCTCTTGCTTGCCACATCAGCAGCCCGCTTGCTCTCGTCCGACCCATCGTGATCGAGAGACGCGGCCTCAGCGCCATCTGGCAGCCCGAATACACCGCCTAGACAAAAAACCAAAACAATCAAGACCAGCTACAACAAATCTTGCTTGGGGATAAGAATCAGACGAGGTACCAGTGCCACAGTGCCAGCCATGGATTGGACAAAGCTTTGTATGCACGAATCAAGAGGAACGGAGCTGTCGCAGGCCGAGTCCAGCACAATGCCTGCCAGAGCAAATAAGTTGGGGGGCGGTTCACCAAACAAAAACAGCTCTCACCGAATTCCGAGTTTTTTAACTCTACGACTCTCTACTCGTCTTTGCGTGTGCCGGCCGCGTAGCACGTCTTCGAGTGGTGGAAGGTTGTCCAGAGCATCTCCCAAGTCCTGCGGAGAGAATTTGAACAATTTGGACAACAGGTGAGCGGACAAGCATGACGATCAACAATGATCAACATGTTTCCTCTTACGTCACAGATCAATGTCACTCTACCAGAAAAAACGTGCACTGCGAGGGCCACGTTTTTCTCACACACTTGGTTTCTTGGCAAACAACTTGAGAGCAGGGCGGACGAGAGCTACGATGTGACAAACCGTAGCATATGTCAGCATAAGTTGAAATTCCCCAAAAACACAAGAACATCTGTGATCATCTGTGTTGTGTATGGCCTTCTTCGGCTGGCAGGCCACATCTGGGTTGCTACCACCGTGCCCAAGCGCTGCACCATGCACTAGAGGTGCTACGCACCCTGTCGTGCACGCTGCTGCTTCACGACGCTCACACCTTGGAACGCATGCGGCATGCGCATCCCCTTCACACCTTGCGTTTGCGGAGACCGCTTTCCCTGAGTGGCTCCCGCATGTCCCTGAGGACTTTGCTTGCACTCTCTGCTGCCGAGACGATTGGCTCCGCTCTTCTGGTTCCCACTGATGGCGGCGCCTTGAATCTCGTGATCTCTTGTGGTTCCAGCACGCCGGCGCGTAACGTTAAAATTAAGGAGGGTAGCTATACTGCGCTACATGTTCTGCCAGATTGAAGATTCCTCCCAGACTTTGCCAGGGCATCAGCAATCTTCAGACCACCACACGGTACCACCAGGCACCACCGCACAGCACCTCCACACATCCACCACCAGGCTCTTCAAAACATGCGCTTGAGCAAGCCGAGGGTCGATAACTCAAGATACCTGCTTACCCTAGCTGAAGTCGCCCTCCTATTATTAAAAGATTCGAAATTAAAGTGACCCCCCCCCTGTTCAGTCAGTCGTCCCCCAAATTATCAAGAAAAAGACAATCCTTAGGGGGGGGGGGGGGGGGGCTGGGTGGGGGGCCTGGGCAGGGGGGCTGGACCGGTTCGCCTGCATGCTGAAAGGTCAAAGGAACCTCATGCACCAGAGCTTACGTACATCGCTGGTATTTGTATCTGTAATGCAGAAAGTAAACAGTCAGCAATGTTCGATTCTTGGTGTTGGGCGCATAAAAATGCTGTAAAAAAATATCGGGCCCTCAGGGCGTTCCACCCTCCGCCTCAATGCTCGGAGGAAGTATGCAGCACACATAATCTACAGCATAAAGGGCAACGATTATCTGTCATGCCACAATCATGTCCTCTTGGTCGTCGCAACTCCGAATTGCATTCCAGGCCTGCCTGACACACTGTGATGGTTTGTTGGCCCAAGAGCTCTGATTCTTGAAGCAGCGCCAGAGGTGCAAGATTTCGGTCCACGCATGCATACCGGAATTGCTGAACAGGTGCACCTTCACGCAAGAAGTGTCACGCAATCATGGCCTTCGAAGAGTTCCGCAGCATTTCTGAGGCTGGCACCAAGAGCTTCGGCTGATCAGGGCTTCGAGACCATGCTTCCGCGGCTGACTTGATGCCGAACGCACCTCACTGACACTTTGCAGGGAGCTCTGGTGCTCTCCATCGCCAAAAGCCTGAATAGTTTCGATCATAGAGGGATTCTGCAGCTCACATCGTCACGGAGCCAAATGATTAGGTTTAGTACCCCTGCATTCCATGTGGGGTGTGTGGGGAGGACTTTGTTGTTTCTGGCATCCCCCCTGCTCGGCTTTTGGTGTGACATGTGTCTCCTTTCACTTCTAGCTTTTCCCAAAACAATGCTTGCACTAAGTACTTTAAGGCGTTTACGTTGGGGTGAAGCGAATTCGATCGCTGGTCCGTTTTCACGGAGCCTCGACATCGATTCTCGGTCTCGGTGCATAAGTCGAGGCAAGGGTTTCGCGAAGCTGTGGAGATTTGCATCTAGTGGTGTTGCGAATGGGGCACGCTCGCCTGGGTTCCGCATGCTCCTTGTGAAGCGCAGAACTGTCATGGTCTTGAGGCTCTTTGGAGCGGTGCTTCTCGGGGTCATCTTGGAGTGCTCTTCTTGGCACTCTTGGATGCTCTTGGCAGATCTTGGAGGCATCTCGGGGTGCACTTCGAATGCTTTTGAAGTGGTCTTATATGCACTGTTCGGGGGTCTACACCGGCATAATATTGGCACAGGGTCTTGCAGTAGCATAACGTTTCATCGTGGGCACAGCAAAAGAGAAATACCACGCCAAGTGCTTACAGTTTCACAGTGCAAAAACCCTGGCCTCGTGATAAACCTTCGTCAGTATCATCCCTTTTTTCGTGCGTCAACCACTGTCCTTACGGCACCCTCGGTGGTACCCAGTCGTAGAATACTGCCACCAAAGCGCACTGGCATCTAAGCCCAAAGCCTTGGTTGGCGCATGTTGGCTCACAAGTCCGTCTTGACCGATTCAGGAGCAGCTAACACTACCTATATGATGCGGGCAGCTCTGCTTGCGGTTGCTTGTAGACACAAAGATGGTGCAGTCAGGAAGTAGTTCACCTCGCTACAAACCAACCGAACAACACCACAACAGAGTCCGCACTCTGTTGTGGGCGACATGACGCATAGAGCATTGAGGGAAGCTCGGTACATGCGAACAACATCTTCTGTGTCCTCTCGGCTGCTTGCAGAGATCACTCATAAACCGCTTCAACATGTTCTCGCAACAACTTGTCAGTCCTGAAGTGATCCGCCACCCCAGGAAAGCAGGAAGACCACCTGCTGTGCCATCATGCCTTGTCGTTATCATCACATACGGTGCCATCGCTGTACAGCCGTGCCTCGCCGCTTGCCTTCCCGTGCGGAACATCTAAGTGGATTGCGCTGGGCGTGTTTCCTGAAGCTGACCGAAGGATAGCGAGTCATCAGACTGATACGATGCGAATAAGACATCGCAACCAGGCATGTGCTGCAGGAGGCCATGACTTTCCACGCTGCTCATTCTCCCCGGGCCCCTCGGCCCCACCGGCACCCCCTTCCCCCCTCCCCCCCACCCCCCCTCCACCCCCCCCCCCCCCTTTAAACCCCCCCGCTGCCCTTCCTGCCTCCTTTTTTTGCGAAAGCCGCCTTGTGCTCCTTCCTCCTTTTCCCTGGGGGGTCCTGGGGGCCGGGCCCTGCTTGCCGAGGCGGCGCGCGCAAAGCGTTTTACATTAAATCCAGTTTGAGCCAGCGGAGTGGACCCTGGCCTCTCGGGCGTGTGGGTACTCTGTGAGTGTCTCCACGCGGTACTGTCGTTTGTCGCACTCAAAAGCGGCTCCCGCAAAAGTTCGGGTGGGGGCTGTCGGGGGAGTGTGGGGGGGGGGGGGGGGCCTGCGGTTAGGTGGCAATGGGGGGTTTGGGTGTTTGCGAACGTTGCAGGGAGATACTTCCTCTTGGCTCTCTTTGCATATGTCGTCGTTTTCCTAGTTGTTTGTTTCGTCGCTGTGGCTTCTCTTTATATTCTTTATGCATGGAATCTTGCATGCCTTGTTGCCTTGTTGTGTTTTGTATCTCGAACATGTCAGCTCCATTTCAGTCGAACATTGCTGCTCCGCACGACATCGTCCTCTGCCGAAGCTGTCCAAGACCACGAGCTGTTGCACTGTTGCGTATTGCCCAATCGGTATGGAAAGCACATCACATTTGCGAGCAACTGTGTTGCAGCCTTAGCGTCTGGAAGGGTCCATGGTAAGACCCACGGCATCATCAACCAGCAGCCTCGAGGTCGCGAGTTTGTTTTGATTTGACATGAGCTGGGGACAAAGTAAAGGAATTAAAGCTCTTGTTGTGGTTCATGTCTACGTGGTTGTTGTGATCTTGTCGCAGGAAACTCGTGCTGTGGAGCGCGGAGCAAATCATCCGCCTTCGTCGAGATACGTTCAAGTAAGTGCAGAAGGCAGCTGAGCTGTTTCTTAAGGACCGACTGAGCATTGGGGGGAGGGGCCCGGTGCCAAAGTCAACTAGCCGCCTGCAAACTGTGCTGATGCATTGGATATGCCAACTACACCCACTGAGAGCCTTGCCCAAGTAAATTGCTGGGTTTTTCCGCCTGCAACATCCAGATCGAATTGGCGGCTTTCACTGACGAGAGCCGAGCTGGATTGTACATTTTTCACAGATGAGGTAGCGGACTGGAAGCGGAGCATCAAGCTACGCAAGATCCACACAGATGCCGTGACCAGATCGCAGCTGCAGACTTAGCAAGAAAACAGCGGCACCGTAGAGGATACAGGAGTCTGCTGGGCCTCCAGCAAGGCCAGAGCGCGCTGCCACATGGCCATATATCGAGTACCATTTCCCGCTGTCATTCTTGCAACGCCTCGAAAAAAGCATGCTTCAGGGAGGCTGAAGCTGACTGGACCTATCCACTGAGTGTGTTAATTTGTGCAACCCTGCATTGCAGAGCTCGACAAGGCCCTATACACACTCCAAACCTTCTTACAAAAAAAGTCGGACAACCGAGCTCCGCTCCACAGTCCGGCCTGAATACGCACTCCGCAGAGATTCTGTATTGTCATCTGCCATACCTTGGTCGCTGCCCCATCTTCATCCCAAGCAAAATTACTAAGTTGCAAACCTGTCAGATAAATCCTCAGGGCATGCTTCGGCCTCGCTTATCACAAACACTTCAACTAAACCAGGAGGTTGCGTAAGCTCAGCAAACCTCCACCCTCAAACAGACCCATGACTTGTCAACGCACGAACGAAGCATTACGTACTTGTGTCTTTGACCGACTTGGGCAAGTGTCTGAAAAGCATGTCCAGCTGGGCGGTGAAATCTGAGTCATCCTTCGTGGTCAAAAACGAGCCAGAAGAGGGGCCGTATCAAACAACCATATGGCCCCCAACCACTCAGTTCGCTCACATACAGCTCGAGCTTTTGGAGCACTTGGCAATGCGATTCGTTGATTTACAAGATACCACCCAGACACCTGAAAGCGGCATCAACAGAAGTTTTCAACCGAAGCACTGCAAGATCAGCCCCATCTTCGTCACGCGTGTGGTTACGTTCACCAGAAGCCAGAAAGCGTAAAGCAGAAAATATGTCATCGGGCGCTTTTCCTGCAGAAGTGATACATGAACGTGAACAGCATGGGCGCACGTGCATCAGAGCACTTCGGGTCCAGTCACATTGGGCTCAAACTGGTTGCTGCCTTCCGGCTCAATCCAAGACTCTTGTCTTGCTTGTCTCATCTGCCGTGGGTTTCACCGATTGCTGCACTGAAGCTTGGCATGACTCATCGCCGGGGTCCGCAAATGGATCCTGCCAGAAAGTGCGATGTTCACAAATACGCAACAACCAGCAGGACAAGGGATGGAAACTCACGGACGCGATCCAGGAATCGCACAGTCCGGAATTGACGCCGGCGCACGTTTTGGGTCTCTTCATGGTGTTTTGGGATTTAGGGAGTCATCTGCAACAAATGGTGCACTTGTTGCAGTACTACCAGTAAGACCCGAAAACCAACCAGCCTGTTTCAGGCGAGCACTTCACCCCTCTAGCTTGCGTGTCTGCACAGCAACATCGCTCAAACCGCTACGCTTGCAGTCCCAATCCGCCATGGCGCAAGGCGCAATGCCATGCACAAGTCGTATGGAATTTGTCACATGGCGTTGGGTGCTGCATCTAGTCTACATGAGTCTGGTTCGCAAGATGTGGCTTAGTCTGCTGACCAGAGGCTAGGGTCATCAAGAGCATGTGAGGAGCGTTCTCGGCTTAACTGGTATCTGCCGCTGGCATTCCGGACAGCTGCGAGCTTCGTCCAAGGTCCAAGTCGAATGACGGCTAGTGACGCTACTGGGCTTCTACAACTAGCCAGAGATCCTAGTCCGCCTGAGAGGATGCACTAAAGGTGGTCCAGTGTAATCCAGGCCAACCGGTGCTAGTACCTGATTGAAGAAGCATGGACCTACGCGCTGGGGTTCGGAGCTCATGCCCAAAGCTATAAAAGCACAAGTCCAATAGGTAAAACTCGGCTCGGAAACTCGTTTTGCGGGCCACGCGAACGTACAAAAAGACATGTCAGCATACAGCTAAAATAACATTTCTCAGTGGGTAACCTTATACGGTTATCCCCAACCAGGTTCAAGGATGTTCAAGGACTTATTCAAAACGGAACCCCGGGCATGCACCTCCTGCATAGTCTTCACTGCGTTCTTCCTGGCTTTCGCGGCGAGTTCCCAGACTTGTCAGAAAACAAAGCGAAGAGGAAAACAACAGACACCATGTTTCGGGACTCTGCGAGCGATAGTCAAATATTGTGTACGGAAAAGCAAAAAACACACATAAACCATACAATGCTTCAGAACTCTCGAGGCTGAAGGCTGCTGCGAAGGCTGCCGCGCAAGCCTCGGCCAGGGTCCTAGCGCGGACCAGCAGACTGTGGCGATTACTTCGACGGGCACGGGCAAGGGAACAGAGAAGAAGATTTGCTAAGGGGGATTCGTGCCCCTATAGCCATGAAGAAGCTCCGGAAGCGAGTCTTGGCGGCCAAGAAGGGCGACCACAGGACCACAGGACCAAGAGCGGAGGAACCGACCGCAGGACGGGGACCAGGACTCCGTCCCGGGCTCCAACGGCTCCGCGCCGTCGTAACAGAGGAGCTCCCGGTCCCCCCTGCTCAACGCAGGACGCACGGTCCTGGCAACAGGGCATCTTTACCCCAGAGACTCCCAGAGTGTCCAGGACGTGGAAGTCCGGGTCGTCCGGCGGAGTGCGGAGTCGCACCGCGCAGCAGACGAAGATTCCGGACCTGGCCTGCTTCCTTCCGCGGTCCTTCCTTCAAGCAGGGTGACCCGCAGGACAGCTGCACCCTTCAGGTGAACAGGGGCGCCTGAGGCGATCGCATGCACGAACTCCGGGTGGACCCACTTCTCCAGTCGCACGACTGGGGGGTACCGAGGCCCAAGCTCCGCGCGGTTCATCATGCCCACGATGAGCTCCTCAGTTATGCGCCTCGCGCCGGCGCAGCCGTCATGCATGCGCTCGACCTTCTTGTCGAGCACTTGGACATCGGTCCTATACTGGTAGCCTGCCGGCTCGTTGTCCACGAAGTTCCGTCCCCCTTGCTCAACGGCAACGCGTGCTCTCGCACCGCTATCTGACCGGCAGCGCTCGGGGCGCCCGCCTGAACGCCGGAGCTGCCGCGGTTCCCCGGGGGCAGACATGCCCATAAATATCGAGTGTTTTTACGGTCCGCCCAAAACACGCTCATTTTACGCACTTGAATGGCTTCATGCCCGCAAACATGGAAAAGGAAGACCCTCAAGGGCATTGAGGGTCTGACTTACTTTTCCATGTTTCGCCGCCATGAAGCCGTTCGAGGGCTTAACATGAGCGTGTTTAGGGTGTCTTTTTTGAGGGGGGGGGGGGCGTTCGGGGGAAGCCGCTGATGCTCATGATGCGCTGTTTGGCCATCTCCAACAGCTCCCTAATGAAAACACACACATGTTCTAGGAGCATTTTTGAATGGTTTCACGGGAAAACGCGTTTTGGACACTTTGAAAAAGCTCCTAGCCTACCCCGCTGATGCTCATGATGCTGGCGCAGGCACGCAAACGTCCGCCCGCATGCGCGCGCGCGCGAGCGAGCGAGCGAGCGAGCGAGCGTGCGGGGAGAAAGTGAGAGAGAGAGAGAGAGAGAGAGAAAGAAAAGAGTGCAAGGAAAAGAAAGACCAAGAAAGGACCAACACGAAGAGGAAAGAGGAAGAGGAAGAGGAAAAGGAAGAGCAAGAGGAAGAGGAAGAGGAGGAAGACAGAGATGGAGAGAAAGATAGAGAGGGACACCGAGAGAAGGAGAAAGGAAAGAAAGAAGAGAGGCGGATAGGAAAGAGCAACAAGAAAGAAGAAAGAGAAGAGACAGAAAAGAGAGAGGAGTGGGAAGAGAGGGAAGAGAGAGAAGAGAGAGCAGAGAGAGAAGAGAGAGAAGAGAGAGAAGAGAGAGAAGAGAGACAAGAGAGAGAAGAGAGAGAAGAGAGAGAAGAGAGAGAAGAGAGAGAAGAGAGAGAAGAGAGAGAAGAGAGAGAAGAGAGAGAAGAGAGAGAAAAGAGAGAAGAGAGAGAAGAGAGAGAAGAGAGAGAAGAGAGAGAAGAGAGAGAAGAGAGAGAAGAGAGAGAA